TTAAAAAAATTAGCCTTAATGTTTATTTTTTGAAAAAATATAACAAAATGAAGAGATTATGATTATTAGATTGATTTAATATTTTTTTTTATAGTTGATATACACAAAAGACTCTGCAAACTGAATAATTTTAATTATTGAAACGAGACTCATGAGGAAAAAATTATCACATAAGTCTGTTTCATATCCTACGTGATATGCCTTTTTGCAATTCTATTGGTTATATATCCACTATTTCTTTTTTTTTTTTTCTCTATGTATTATATAAAATAACTAACAGAATTGAAAGGATATACAATATGAACTAGAAACAAGCCCAATACTTAAAAAAAAAAATATTTAATTGGACCAATGATTGTCTTGTTAATAAAAGCACATAAGAAAAAAAAAAAAACAAAAACAAAAACAAACAAACATTAGTAATTTGTTAATAGTAATGCTATACAAACAATTTTTTCAAACAAATTTTCTTTACAAATTGATGTGTCATCTAGAATATCAGTAAGTTGTGTCTCATTTTAAGTTTGTAAATTTTTTTTGTTTGTATAGCATTTTCCATTTGTAAAATATTTTTTTTTATGAATTTCCAATTGGTGAAAATTGGGCCGAGCTGTGAGATAAACTTGGTGGCCCAAAGTATGACGGACTGGGTAAAAATGGGCCGAGAAGTTACTCCGGCCGAAAAGAAATGAAGTTACTTCGGCTCAGGAGTTGTAAAGCTACTTCGGTTTGGAAAACTTGGAGTTGGTCCGGTCTCTGAGTTAGTCCGGTCACGACGTAGTATGGTTAGAACGGTCAAAGCCTTGCTACTCGGTAGTTCGGTCTAAACACACCATGGTTGGACAGGAGAGAACCGAGATAAGGAGTGGATGGAGAGAACCGAACTAATAATAGTTCGGCCTACTCAGTGGCTCTGCATAGCCAAGCTTATTTCGGTCATATCGTAGTTCGGCAAAAGTAAAAACCATCTCACTTGGTTTAAGCAGTGGGGGGTGTAAAAGGATAAGCATTAGAGTAATGCTAGGGACACCAAATTTTCTACCAAACAAATGACCAAATGTCTCACATGGGTGTGGGGTCCGCAATTTTGTGGGCCCCACACCCATGTGAGACATTTGGTCATTTATTTGGTAGAAAATTTGGGACGTCTAGCATTTTCCTAAGCATTATCCTTAGGAGTATGAATCCTAGGAGGACTCTGCATGGAGGAATAAAAGTCCTACTAGGATTGTGCCACTCGAAACCTATAAACGCTCACAAGCATCACCTTGGAAGGAGGTAACAGAACACAACGCAATTTTGCTTTCTGAAAACATAGAGCTTTGTCTATTTGTCAAGTTTACTGACTTAGGCATCAGAGAGGTTTCCGGCACACACCCGCCGGCTAGCTCACGTTTGTGTTTTTAGGTGATAAAGCGACATCGTACGGAGGAGCGTGGACTTGGTCAACAGGATTATACGAGAAGGCGTATTTCTTTCCCGTACATGTGCAAATAATAATTAAAATTTATAAAATTAGATGATTTTTAAAAAAATTAGCCTTAATGTTTATTTTTTGGAAAAATATAACAAAATGAAGAGATTATGATTATTAGATTGATTTAATATTTTTTTATAGTTGATATACACAAAAGACTCTGCAAACTGAATAATTTTAATTATTGAAACGAGACTCATGAGGAAAAAATTATCATATAAGTCTGTCTCATATCCTACGTGATATGCCTTTTTGCAATTCTATTGGTTATATATCCACTATTTCTTTTTTTTTTTTTCTCTATGTATTATATAAAATAACTAACAGAATTGAAAGGATATACAATATGAACTAGAAACAAGCCCAATACTTAAAAAAAAAAAAAAATCAATTGGACCAATGATTGTCTTGTTAATGAAAGTACATAAGAAAAAAAACAAAAACAAAAACAAAAACAAACAAACATTAGTAATTTGTTAATAGTAATGCTATACAAACAAATTTTTCAAACAAATTTTCTTTACAAACTGATGTGTCATCTAGAATATTAGTAAATTGTGTCTTATTTTAAGTTTGTAAATTTTTTTTATTTGTATAGCATTTTTCATTTGTAAAATATTTTTTTTTTATGAATTTCCAATTTACTTTCAACTTAAACTTTGTACTTACTTTGAAAAAAAAATTACTCTAATTAAACTGTTAAATAACATAACACGCGTTAATTTTTATTTTCATTTTCATTTCGTTTTTGCTACATATATTTCATTCTTATTAAAGGTGCACATTGTCACCATAAAATTTCCTCAATCAATATAAGAACTCGTGGACGAGGCATCTACGATCACTGGCTTCGTTTGGAAAGTAGGTTGACTTTTTGATTTTTTTGACTATTTTAGTTATTTTAGTCTAGGTTATAAAACTTGGTTTGGAAATGACTTTTTGACTTTTTGACTTTTTTTTGTAAGAGAAGAGTGTGATGATTATGGATTGTGTGTGATGTTTTGTTTGTTATGGTTAAAATAGCCTATTTTATTTTTTGTGACTAAAATAATCCCAAACCCATCCAAACCCACTTGCCAAACCATGATCACCCATTAAGACTAAGCAATAACTCGTTAATGGATTATTTTGGAAATATGATATTTTTGACTTTTAACTTATTTTAAGTAATATTATTCCTTTATTTTTTTTACATATTTTTTCAAAAAAAAAAACTAAAAAAGTTATTTTTTTAACTAATTTTCCAAAACAACCCAATGTTTGGTTGGTATATAACTACGAGTATCAAATTGGGTCAAAGAATAATTGACAAATATTAGATTTTTGACGTAAAAAATTTAACAATCATATTATTATATCAAGAGTTTTGTTAAAGGTGTCTTTAGGTCACTAATTAATTCTCTATAAAATAAGTAATTGAAAAATGTTTAACCATTTAATATTTTATTAAGGCATTATTAACAAAAACTTATAATTTTTTAATCATGTAATAAGGTATGTCTCTAATAATAATTATAAGAATAGGAGCATGAAGTCAAATGTCATTTATTGTATGATATTGTAGTTTTATTAGAGGACAATTATTCACCCCATATATATGGTCTGTAGTGTAGAAAGAAGGTCCGGTGGAGGACAACATTGGTCATTTAAAGGAGGTGTGAACTGGCCATTGTCTGTCATCCTCTGCATACTCTCTCTCTCTCCCTCTCCAAAACACGCAAATATATGAATTTTGGGTAAATTATAAGCATCTTTTTTAAAATTTAAAGAAAATATAGTAAATTTAATAATTTTGATATAATTATATTAAATTCTTTTAAAATTTTAATTCATATAATAGGTTTATTTTGAGAAGATGATTTTTTTTGCTTATTTCTATATATATTTTTTTTGGTCTTATTGACAAATTTATTTGAAAAGTGCTAAATAATTTTTTATATTTTTTTAAAATTATTATAATAGAATCTCACATCACTTGTAAAATTATAAATTGACCATATTACCCTTGTTACCCTAGTCAAAAGCCATACACACACCAAGTATTTTAGTAATTTTACTTATTGGCTTACTTTTTTTTCTTCTTCCTTCCCAATTGAGGCCTTCATTTCTATCAATAATTTGTTACTTATATGATATAAAAATTGATATTATTATATCTTTTATACGAAAAATATATATTCTTACGTTATTTATTTTTATATTCTCACATCATTTACATTAATTTTGTTTCACTTAATACAAAAATGAAAATTAATGTAATTATATCAAAATTACAAAATTTATTGCATTTTTTACAAATCTTAAGAAAAGTCAGTGTAATTTACCCTATAATTTTTGTGATAGAGTGTCGTTATATGTCGTGAAATTATTTTTATTTTTTTATTTTTATGTGACTTTTTATATAATATGATAATTTTTTTATTTTTTTTTAAACAGAGTTTTGCTACATTCTTATTTCCATCATCTCCAATTACATTTCTAATGTGATAAAGGAGTAGTTTCTCACATAATTATGTATGTAACAAATTAAAAATTGATACTTATCATTGTATGCCATTAGGAGTGAAATTGTAAAAATCTTATTAGAAGAAGTCTCAACCATTTTTCTTTTAAATATGATAAATGATGTTTGTTTAAAACATATAAAAGTGATATGACTAGATGAAAACATTCAATAATAAATAAATAATTTTATTAAATATCCTCATAATGTGATTACATATATTAAAAGAGGAAAATTTTACTGTACATGCCTTTTGAAGAAATGTATCATATATATTTTTAATTATGCCATTTTATTATTTGGTTATGACTATTTATTTATTTATAATTATGATATTATTTTAGTTATGATTCATGAGATTTTTAGTTTTATTTCATGTTGTATTTAGTTATGATATTTTTTTTAATTATGATTCAAAAAATATAAAATTATGTTATTTTTTTTATATATAATACACACATTTTTAGAGACGTGCACCATAATATTTTTCATTGAAAGAACTTAAAAAGTATTGAACATTTTGGATCTCTCTCTCTCTCTCTATAGATTGCCCTTTTCTCTCTCTAAACTTGTTTCTTTTTTTGATAAGTCTCATCTTTCCTCTTTTTCTTTCAGGGTCCCCCTCTATGCATGCTCATTCATACAAATGATGACTGATAAAATGAGTCCAAATCAACCCCAAAAAAAGAAGAAAAAAGCTCCGTTTAATTTTTTCAACTTAAAAGTTAATAATTAAAAAGTATGAACTAAAATATTTTTTTTTTCTTAATTTTAAATAATAAAAAAATTAAAATTTCTTTAATGAATTTATTGCCTACAAATTTCAAGTAAAAGAATAATTTTTTTTTTACTTTATCAAATATTTTGACACAAAATTTCAAATATATATATATATAAGTACTCAAAATGCATTAAAAAAAAAAAAAAAGAGCTTAAAACATCAATCTCTTCAACTAACCGTTTGTGCTCTCAGTCTGCATTCCAAAAGTAAATTAGAGCCGTTGCCTCTCTCTCTCTCTCTCTCTCTCTCTCTCTCTCTCTCTATCTCCCTCCCTCTCTCCAAACACTCCTCACACAGACTGTTTCTTGTCTCTCCTCTGCTGTTTCTCTTCTTTTCTTTGCTTTCTGAGAATGTAAAACACTGAAAAGCTAAAAAAATTAGCTCTTTATCTTCAAAACAAAAAAGACCAATACATGGCTTCCCATAGCGTTGTTTCACTGTTCTTCATCTACATTTCTTTGTTCTCGAGCCTCTGTTTAGCTGACGATCCATTTGTTAGCTACGAATTTGTGCTCTCTTACATTACAGCTTCTCCTTTGGGTGTTCCCCAACAGGTTTGTTTGAGATCTCTTTCTCACTCTATTTTCTCTCGAATGTACTCTGTTCCTCTTTCCATCTGGGTTTTCTGAAATTTCACAAACAGTTGGTGGGTTAGTTTTTGTTTTTCAAAATTTTGATTCTTTAGTCTCAGATCTGCAAAATATGCTTAGTTTTTGAAGTTACAGTGATATAGTATAGTGAGCTTAGGGATTTTCCTGAGCTGCATTGTGATGAAATTCAAGAGCTACTAGGTTTTTAGTGATTTTCATGAACTGCATTGTTTTGAATTGCAGGTTATTGCTATTAATGGTCATTTCCCAGGGCCTGTCATTAATGTGACTACTAACAACAATGTAGTTGTCAATGTGAGGAACAAATTAGATGAGGACCTTCTCATAACTTGGTATGATTTACAGTAGTTTTTTTATTTATTAATTTGATTTGGGTTTTGGATCTATGATGGTGATTTAGGATTTAAAAAATCAATGGTTGTGAACAGGGCTGGTATTCAACAGAGGAGAAGTTCTTGGCAAGATGGGGTACTCGGCACGAACTGTCCAATTCCTCCAAAGTGGAATTGGACTTACCAATTCCAAGTGAAGGATCAGATTGGGAGTTTCTTTTACTTCCCATCGCTCAATTTCCAAAGGGCATCTGGAGGTTATGGTGGTTTTATTATTAACAATAGGGATATAATTCCAATTCCTTTTGCAACCCCAGATGGGGATATCACGATTTTGATTGGTGATTGGTACACTCGAAACCACACGGTTAGTGTTTGATAAATTGTCTAAATCGACATTTTAGGTGTGTATTGAAGCTTAGCATGCAATGTGTCTTGTGGTTGATCTTGTTTTGGTATATATAGGCTTTGAGGAGAGAACTTAATGGAGGGAAAAATCTTGGGATGCCGGATGGTGTTCTTATCAATGGGAAAGGCCCCTATAGATATAACACTACACTTGTTCCTGACGGCATTGACTATGAAACAATTGATGTTCACCCTGGTGAGTATTTCAGAGACACTGTTTTTGAAGAATCTGCTATAACTTATACGTTTATCATCAAATCAATTAGTCTATAAGTCATATGCGTTCAGGAACTTTGTTGATTTAGAAGTTGGAACAGATTTGTTCTTGTTGGATTCTCTGAATGAGCTGTGCCCTTGTTCCTTTTATGCATTGAACCTACTTTTGAAGCGCAACTTATACCATATGGCTTTTAGACCATCCAGTTTTGGCTAGGATGTGCCTGCTTGTCTCTTCTCTTCTAATTATTTTAACTATTTATTTGTTATTTTCGGTGAATTGCCATGTTTGATGGTATTTGTGTTAAATACACACTAAACTCATGGTAGCACTAATACCATCATCAGATTGTGATTGAAATAGGGCATTATTTAAGATAACATGCTCTTTCATTGTGTCTTAGGACTTGGGACTTGGCTTCAGAAACGGAGTGTACTTCTTTGATGTGATATAAATCACATTAACAAAAGTAACAAGTTAGGCGTTAGGATGTGCATCAGTATTGCACTTCTTCCTTATATATATATTATTTATTTATTATTTTTGTGAAAAATTGAGCACATGCATATTTTAGGGGTTATAATTCACCCTGACCACTCACATTCAACATGCCACTGCATGATAGTTAGGAACTATACATCCCAGGGGAACTTTTTGGTCAGGCATTGAAACATAACATTTCTTTTTGGTAGGTATATTGGAACGCATGTCAATGCTTGTGAAAGTTGTTTTTCTTTCTTACATTGTTTCCTTAAATTTTTTTTTAGCTTCTGATTGTTTATATTATAACGTTGGCCAGGCAAAACATATCGCATTCGTGTACACAATGTTGGTGTGTCAACTAGTTTGAATTTCAGAATTCAGAACCATAACCTGCTTTTAGCGGAAACAGAGGGATCATATACAGTGCAACAAAATTACACTAGCTTAGATATTCATGTTGGACAGTCTTATTCTTTCTTGGTAACCATGGATCAGAATGCAAGTTCTGATTACTACATTGTAGCAAGTGCTAGGTTTGTGAATGAATCACTCTGGCAAAGAGTTACTGGTGTTGGTATCTTGCACTACTCAAATTCGAAAGGGAAGGCATCTGGTCCCCTTCCGGACCCACCAAATGATCAATTCGACAAAACCTTCTCAATGAACCAGGCTAGATCCATCAGGTTTGTTTGCAATTTTTTGGATTCATTGGCACATTATTTATGTGAATATAAGTTATTTTGTTTCTTCACTATGTTCGTAGATCTTCTGAAGAACTTATTTTTAACAATTTCCTACTGATTAGTCTTGTGCTTAACATTGTACAGGTGGAATGTGTCAGCCAGTGGTGCTCGCCCCAACCCACAAGGCTCATTTAGATATGGCTCGATCAATGTGACTGATATTTATGTGTTGAAAAACAAGCCACCAGTGACTATCAATGGGAAACTGCGAACAACACTCAGTGGGATCTCATTTGTCAATCCCGCCACACCAATCAGGCTTGCCGACCAATTCAAAGTAAAGGGAGTGTACAAGCTTGATTTCCCCAATAGGCCAATTACAGGATTACCTAAGATGGAAACGTCAGTCATCAATGGTACATATAGGGGATTTATGGAAATTATCCTGCAAAACAATGAGACTAAGGTGCAAAGTTATCATATGAGCGGATACGCCTTTTTTGTGGTTGGGTAGGAATTGGTTTCCTTTATCTAAACTTCATCACCTCTACTTCACTGCATAGATGCTTTCTATTTTTTGTTTTTTCTTTTTTATAATAGTAATAAATTGCTCTGAGTACCCATATTGTTAGTCTTAATTAATTTTTGCAGAATGGATTATGGTGAGTGGACAGAGAATAGCAGGGGCACATACAATAAGTGGGATGGTATTGCTCGCACCACAACACAGGTATGTTTTTGTTGGCTTCTCATTTTCTTCTTCACCGGAGAATTTGGTTTTAGCATATATATTGGCTACAAGTAAGTTTTGTTTTTTTGGTACAGGTTTTCCCTGGGGCATGGACAGCAATCTTAATCTCACTTGACAATGTTGGAGTTTGGAATTTGAGAACAGAAAACCTTGACTCATGGTATCTGGGTCAAGAAACTTATGTCAGGGTTGTGAATCCAGAGGAAACTAACAAAACCGAGTTGCCCATGCCAGATAATGCTCTTTTCTGTGGTTCCCTCAGTAGATTGCAGAAGTACGTAGTTATTAACTGCTTTCAATCTTTTCTGATTTATTATGTAGTTATTAACTGCTCTTTTCTGTGATTCCGTTTTCAGGCCAGAAGACATCTCTTCAGCAACATCAATCTTGGGTAGTAGATCAAAACTGTTCATGATTCTGGTGACGATGATATATGTTGTAATTTCCATTTTCTGCTAAAACTTTTTCAATGGGGAGCCTGGCTTGCTTTAGTGAGGTGTTTGTGGTTGTGATTTGTGAGTGGTTAGGTTTGTGTAATTGTAGGTTTGTTGATATGAATCTTCAGTAATTTTGATGGACATTTTTCTTTTTCCTTTTCCTATGTAGTAAATGCTCCCAAAGATCCTAGTTCAATTTATTGGTATTTATCATTCTTTTATGACCCTATAATTTTGTGTAATTTATCAGTTTTTCTATACAAATTTGACTACATCCTAGTTTCACCATATAATACATAATGAACATAAAGTTTTTGCAATTGTCCTGATATTTATTTACTTATCTACTACAGCTAATGGTAGCCTATTTTTTTATTTTTTTGAAACGCGTTTTGATCTGCTTTGCTTTGGTGGCACTAGTTGCAAATAATACATTATACAACCACCCCACCACTCCACTGTGTTTCACTTACTTTCATGTCTCTTCATTTTCATCTGTTTCAAATCTAGAAGCAGAAGAAAAAAAGAAAAAAAAAAAAAAAGCCCACATATATTTCAACTGCTATAGTTTTTTGTCATGTTTTTGGTAGGTGAAAGAATTATTTCCCCCCTACTTTTGTGTGTTTTTGCCCATGCGACATGGTTTTTTTTGGGTACAATAGAGGCCATAACTTGAGGTTGGAGATAAATGTGATAAAATTTTTGAACCACAAAAAATTAATGACTTGTATGATTTTGAAAATAGATTACATTTTTTCGGAGATAAATATGATAAAATTATATAGTTGCGTATATCAAATTGACTAAATTTTGTGTGTGAATAATCTACACAAAGTGATACAACTCAAATATGATCGAAAAGAAATCAATGGTAAACTTGCGGGCCGAACAATGTTATCCAATCTAATGTCTAAACTGGATTCAAGCCATTCCCATTCCAAAATATAGCACCTATGATTTATGGGAGAGATTTCTTTCTAGTGGAGCGTATTATTGGGCCCATGATGAGTCTTATTTCGATAATGCGAACAATAAAATGTGTAGAGCTTGTTCAGTATTTCATACCTGAAAAAAATCACGTTAATCGGATATTAATAGTCCCTTGTTCGAAACACATTTTTGTTAATAATTTATTTTTTAAATCATATTTACTATTGACAAAAATATGTTTCAATTAAGGAGTTACTGAGTGATTATTCAGTATTTTCGGAGTATAAACACGTGGTGCTTCATAAGGTTTTGATTGCTAGAGAAGGGTAGAAGCCTACGATTTATGTTGGGGGATAGAAAACAACATGAGACTAAATAATTGATAATTGGCATTACGTGGTATTATGAGATTATTGAATGATTTTCCGGGATTATTAATATGTTATTTTTTACAGATATGCTCTACACATTAAACAATTTAAATCATCAAAACAGAACCCATAGTAAGCTCCATAGATTCAACAGTACACTCCAGTAAGCGTCTCCCATAATTCCATAAGTAAAAAGCTCATTTCCTTTTTAGTTTTGTAATTGGTATCAGAGCTTGGTGAAGAGTTTTGAAAAGCAAGATCAAGCTATGTAAGTATTTCTATCTATGTATAAAGTTTTGATATATATATAAGTTTGTATGGTGTGTTTTATGTTATAAAAAAAAAAAAATTAATTTAAAAATTCCGTCTAAGTTTTTTGTGTATCTTTTGTATTTTATAGCTTCATAATTATTTGTTTCATTTATAGTTGTTGTAAAATCTATATGCTTAGTGTATGTCAAAGCCCATATACTCATTAAGATCTTTTGACTATTGGTCATAATTAAGTCTTTAAGATCACAAAAGAGAGGTTTTAAGCACTAGATAACACACTAGGAGGGTCTTAGGTACCAACAACAATCTAAAATGGCAATTAATTCTGATGATATAATATGCTTTGGAAATACAAAAAATAATGTTAATAATAAATACGATCATAGTCTGCATATTACTAAAGAATCTGCAAATATAAATAGTGTGTGTTCTATTTTAAATAACATTACTGATATTATGTGTTCTTGGTTTTCTAAATTAGATAAAAATCAAAAAATAAATCAAAATTATCTAGAGACTAAAGTTAAGTCTATAGAATCTAAAATAGACAATTTGGGTTCTATAATAAATATTGATTTAAATAAAGAAGCAAAAAAATCAAATAAACAATTTGGTGACAAAATTAGAAACTATATTCTTCATAAACAATGATGGAATGAATAGTCCAAGAGATAGTGACATCCCTAGGCTATTTTATGGTACAGAATATATTATGGTACTTCAAACCAATACCTATAATAAAACTGAATATGAAAATATTGTTGAAATATTGGATTATTGGAGAAAATATAAAGACCTAGACTTAGGTATTGATGAAAGAAATAAGCTACTAGATCAGATAAGAGAAACTTATCTAGAAAATGAAACCCTTTTACAACACTTTAATTATGATATTAATATGTCAACTAATGATGATGACAGCCAATCATCCTCATCTGAAGAATCAATAGATCAAGATATTTCATCAGAAATAAATAAAGGGAAAAGAAATGCAGAAGAGCCAATTGATCCCGAATTATTTAGCACATGGGAAGATGGAAAATTTTTTGACTTTATTCAAAAAAATGAAGTTAAAAATGATATTAACATTGGAAGTACCTCCAATCCTACACCTGAGCCAGTAATATCTAGAAAAGATAATAATCATAAGTATCCAATAGCTCAAAATGGTACTTATTTAGACTTGTCTCATGTTCCTTTTAAGGATCAATCACAAGCAATAGATGATTGGGCACAATCCTTGTCCATCATTATTATCAATTATAAAAATAATTGGTCAAAGGAAAAATTCCTTGATTATATTGCAGCAACTCTCCAGGGAGATGTGTTGCAATGATTAAGACAGTGGGAAAAATCTGAAATTAGGAAAAGTCAAAAAACGGCTTTGTTAACAAATTTTCTCACACTTGACACAATTTTAGTTGAGTTTGCAAAAATCATAAAAGAAAATTTATGTGGTTTTGCAGGAGATACTAATTTGCAAGCAGATGCAAATTATATTTTGATTAAATTAGAATTATGTAATATTTGTCTTTTTGAAGATTATGTTCAAACTTTTAAAAAGTATTATTATCTTATTGATCCACCAGCAAATCAACCCTGATTAGATCAATTTTTTCATAAACTCCCTAATCCATGGGATGAGTTATGTATTAAAACATATCTTGATTTTCTCAAAAAAAATGAGGAAGGAAGAATATGATAATCTTGGTTTTCGCATTAATTATGTTCTAAGGCTGATAGCAGATCGGTGTCTAGAAGCAAAGGCGAAAAAACAAATAAAAAATCAAATTTCTAACTCACCATATGGTCAAAAATGTTGTGATAAAATTTTAAAAGAAGATTGGAAAATTGGTTGTAATACATTTCCTAAAAGGAAAGGATTTTCCAAAAAGCGTAGAAAATATAAATGGAAATCTTGGAAAAAGAATAAAACTTTTTCAAAAAAGAAAAAGTATATTCGAAAAAAGAAACCAACAAGTGTTTCAAAAAAGAAAACTTGTAAATGTTACATTTGTAACGAAGAAGGTCACTATGCACCCGAATGCCCAAAACGGGGAAAAAGTGCAAAGAAAATTATCAAAGTCCTTGAAGAACAAGATTTTGAAATAATGTATGGAGAAGAAATTTCTGATGAAGAAGAAATCTTATATGAAATTTCTAGTGATGAAGAAATTTCAGATGAAGAACAAATCTTCATGATGACTAATAATAGTCAAGAAATGTCTCAAAAAGCAAATAGTATATCTCAAGAAGAATTACAGGCAATTCGACTTGGAGATGTAATCGGAGAAGAAAAAACTTTTACCGACGAAGAATTAGCAAAATTCGAAAAAATGCAAGAAATTGTTGTTCCAGAAATTTATAAACTTTCAAAATTTAACTTCTTTTCAGCAAGAGTGTTTGAACAATACAGTGGTAACACTCAAGCAAAATGGTCAAAAGAAGGAAATATTGATATTCCTTTTTTTGATAAGAAAAAGGTTGCAAGATGGAAAAAGAAATATCCTGAAATTCAATATATTCATATTGGATTACTTCAAGTAACCATAACAGCCTTATTCCGCCAATGGATAGATACTCCTATTTTGGCAGTAATTTTTGACAAAAGATTTTCCGACCCAATGAAAGCAATCATTGGAGGAATTCAATCTAATTTGGCTAATGGAGTAGTTTGGTTTAATGTTAGACCAAATTTCTTTATTTCCATAAATGATCCTAATCTTGAAGATACAGTCAGAATAAGAATTAAAACACAAGGATTAGGAATGAAATCAAATTCTCATGATTTGGCTATTCGTTGAAAAACAATTCACGAATTAACCAAATTTCCTGAAACAAAAATAAGATCAAACGATAATAAAATCGTCGAAATCTTTGAATCAAGACCATTTGACACGGTAATACAACCTCATCTAATGAATTGGAGCGATTTAGAAGTCCCTCGATAATGGTTAATCCAAGATCTAGTGAGACAAGAAGAATCTTCTAAAACAAAAAAACCTGCACAATTACAAATGCAGGCATCAGGAAAAAATTTATATATTGAAAATACAATTCCAAAAATTAAAAGATCAACTTCTGTATTTGAAAAAGATTTTCCTAACAAATCATTTTCAAAGTTAAGCATTGGAGAATCAAGTAATAATTTTAATCAAGAATCTATTACTTCAAACAATGTTCAGATTCTTATTTTTCTAGGAACAAGAAAACTTGAACATATTAAGTCCGCATATATGTATCATTTTCAAACAAAAAATGATGATATTATTTTTTCTCCTAGCCAAGGAAAAAGAAGATATACATATGTATTGGGAACATTAAATTTTGCAGGTTATAAACCCTATAGCCTCAGTGTTCTCATAGATACAGGAGCTACAGTCAGCTCATGTAAATGGAATGTCATACCAAAAGAAAAATGGACATTAATAAAACATCCAATTTTAGTTACCGGAATAGATGGCAACCATACTTCCATACAATTCAAGGCTAAAAATATAGATATTTGGTTAAATGATAGCAAATTCATTATACCAAAAATTTTATGTTTTCCGTATATGCATGGAGATTTCCTTCTTGGCCATAATTTTATATATAAATACCTTCGAATGCAAATACAGGAAAAGGCTATTTCATTAAGCATAAACAATGTCTT